CGTTGCATAGTATTCCATTGTGTGAATGTACCAAAGTTTGGTTATCCATTCCTCAGTTGTTGGACATCTAGGTTGTTTCCAAGTTTTGGCTATTCTGTTACGAACTTTCAAACTTTTTGTCCTACAGATTTGGCACTGCTCTGATTGCCCCATGGATAGCTGTTTGCTCTTCAAGGCACCTTAAACCCCTAACAAACCAAACCGGATGCCTTTGTGTTGAGTCTGAGGCATAGCAACCATTACAGGACATGCTAGGCCTACCCCATAGGTTCCCAAGGCTGGAATCTTCATGGATGCAGATCACCAGGTCTTGCTCCTGTGGAGCAGCTGGTGGGTTCAAACCACCAGCCTTTGTGTTCGCAGCTGAGTGCTTAACTGTGGTGCCACCAGGGCTCCTCAAGGGAGCTTAGTACATGGATAGTTTGCAGTACCAGGTAGTCAGAGGTTGAATTTGTGCCTTGGTATTCTGTTTATCAGCTCTGATGTGAACTTAAGCAAATTACCTAACTTTTCCAAGCCTTAGATTCCTCGTCTGTGAAATAATTTTCCAGACTGTCTGTTGGGGCAAAACTATCTGTTGTTTCCTTTCTGTTAAAAGTGACTTTAACACAAAGCAGAGTCATCTTGGGGAAGAATGTTTCTGTGGAAGTGCTGTCAGGAGTTGACTTAGATGTGATTTTATTTGCAGTACCTCGCTGAAGCTGGCTGGACGGCCGAAGGAAGAGTTGTAGGCGTGACCCAGCCTCGAAGAGTGGCTGCTGTTACAGTGAGTTTCTTTTCCATATTGTAAAGACTCTCGCTCCATCTTTTATTTTAGTGACTTTTTTCTCATTTCCTAAAAGCTCCAAATGAAAAGCTGTTGTTTCTTAGAAGTTTAATTCTTCTAAAATAAAGTCTTTTTTTTTTTAAAAAAATAAAGCATAGTATTTGTGTATCGAGTGTGAGAAATAAAAAATAATCTAAAACAAGCCACAGAAAATTAATTCTTCATTTTAAAAGAGCTCGTTTGATTATTGTTGTAGTAACGATACCTGCACATTCTGCATATTTTAAGTATTAAAGTGCAAAGAAAATTAAAACCAAACCTAACAGACTAACAAACAAAAATCCCCAAAATCTCACTGCCCAGCAAAAGGCATGGTGAACATTTGGGACACATCATTCCAGCCTTCTCTTAAGTATAAAGCTAAATGTTTGGGTGGATGGAAAACGTAACTTCATAAAACTGGGATCAGACCATGTGTGCTTTTATTAACTTAAAAGAAGAAGCTGAAGTGACATAGGAATAGTTACTGAATTGGGGATAAATATTTATTTATCACAAAAGAACTTATTAAAGCTGAAAACCGAGGAAAAAGGATTACAAAAAACCTATTTCTGAAACTGTATGTTTCAACTTTTGGTAGTTTTTTTTTTTTTTTTTT